TACACGAGACTTGGTCATGCCACAATCTCTTCTCTATTTCCCCATCCTATCATGATTTGGGGGCATGCATCCAACATGTTTTTCAAGCCACTGGGCAGGATTTGAACTACAGTCAGCCATGTGGGATCCAGCTCCCCTAACCACTGAGAAATAGTTCTCTGAACTATGTGTTTATTTCAAGTGGGGAAAAAAAATTATTAACCACAATTATTTTTCTTACACTGGCCTTTTTTGCTTACATACTTACCTGGTCCTACAGGTGTTTCACTTTGAGGTCAATGGGTCCTCTAATCTACTGGGACATACCTTCATGAAAAAGTTCATTGAAGCCATGTGCAATCCATTATTCAATTGGTACTGTGATTGCAGCCAACCTTAAGGGCCTTCTGCAAGCTCTCAGAAATTATCAAATGAGGAGGGATATCTGATGGATGATACAATGACATCATTTTATAAACAAAGTTCCAGAAGCCCAGAGAAGAAAGGCAAGGTACCCACAGTCATATAGCAAGTTAGTGCAAAGCTTGGGTCAGGACCTAGGGCCCCAGTGCCAGTACAGAGTCAGAGCCAGCAGACACAGCCATGCCCTGCACAACCTACCCAGTCTAAGGGGAAGGTTAGCCAAAATCTGGTTCTTGTACCCCTTACGCCTGGCTCAGGGCTGCTGCAGCTGGAGGGAGCCACCTCTTCTTAATTTGCACGGATGGTCATGAGGCCTCAGGGCAGCCCTGAGTGGTGTCGTTTTAAAAAGAGAAAAGAAAACAGGCTTTTGACTCTAAGAGTTGTTTTTGTTGTTGTTATTATTTTTTGTTTGTTTTTGTTTTTAGGGGGTTTTTTGGTATACTTTTTCATTTATTTATGTATTCTTTTTTTACTTTTTATTTATTTTCCATTCAATCAGTGTGTATCATTACAGCATACCAGATGGATTTTCCCATCCTGAGTAGACTGTACACTGGTTCAGTCGGAGATATCACCATACATATTATCAGCAACAGATCATCTTCCGTTTTGGTGGTCCTTAAGTGTTCTGCTTCTTCCTTTTTCCCCTCGATGCCCTCCCTCTGACCCTTCCCCATTTCCCACCCTCCTCCCACTGTCTCTAGTATCCTCAGTTGCTCCCCAGGCCTTCATACCTTCCAGTCTTTCTGTTTCTGCCGTAGAGTAGAATCTAAGAGATGTAGGTTTGAATTTGGGCTCCTCTCCTTATTGGAAGTGACACCTGGGGCTATCCCAGTAGCACAGTGGTTAAGCCAACTGCAGAAGAAGCCAGATCCCTCCTGTCCGACCAAGGCTCCAGTCCAGGCTTCGCAGCTTACACACCAGCTGTGCACACGTGTGCTCCGGATCCTGAAGAGATGGAGAAATGGCGGACAAAGGATCGAGATGAGACCCAATTGGGCAGTTCTCTCTCTCCCTCTCTTTATCTCTCTCTCTCTTGTATTGTTATGCCCTCTGGCATTAAATTTAGGGAAGAAAAAAAAGAGAGAGAAGTGACACCCTAGACAAGTCACAGTATCTTCCTTTCTTTCTTTGCAATTGCCAAAGGACACATGCACTCGCCAGAGAGACAGAAAAAGAGAGAGGGAGGGAGGGGAAAGCACCCACAATAGGACATGGCCACACAATCCCTCCTCCTTCATCTCTCCATCCTGTGGGGTTTGGGGCATGAACCCAACATGTTTTTGTTTTGTTTTTTAGAGAGGTTTTTGCTATAGGGCATGTGCTCTCGCCAGAAAGACAGAGAGAGACAGGTGAGAAATCACCCTTCAGGGGAGATGGCCAGGCCGCAATCCCTTCTCCTCCATTGTCCTCTCAGGATCTTGGGCACGCATGCACATGTGCCCAGTGTGAGTTTAAGCCACCAGGTCCGGGACTCAAACCATGGTTGACTACATGGGAGTCCAGTGACATAGCCATTACGCCAACTGCTGGTCCCAGCACCCAACATGATTTTAAGTTGCCAGGGTTGGGATTTGAATCTCGTTCAGTCCTGTAGGATCCTGTCTCTTTAATTACCAGGCCACGTGGCTGATCTCAACACACACCCTGATGCCTCTTCCTCTTATTCATTTTATTTATTTATTTATTTTGGAAAGGCTTTTGCTATATGGCACATGCACTCTCCAGAAAGACAGAGAGAGACAGAGAGACAGAAAGCGATAAATCACCTTCCAGGGGGGATGGCCATACCACAATCCCTTCTCCATTCTCCTCTTGGGATCTTGGACATGCACACTCATGCACCCAGCGTGAATTTAACCCACATGGGAGTCCAGTGACATAGCCATTACGCCAACTGCTGGTCCCTTTTTTTTTTTTTTGAGAAAGAGAGATTTTTGCTGTAAGCACATATACTCACTGGAGAGACAAAGACAGAGAGACAGAAAGTGAGAGAGAAATCACCCCCCAGAGGAGATGGCCACATCACAGTCCCTTCTCCATTCTCCTCTCAGGATCTTGGGCACGCACATGCACCCAGCATGAGTTTAAAGCTGTGAGCTCTAGGAATCGAACCACAGTCGACTATGTGGGAGTCCAGCAACATAACCATCACACCATCTACTGGTCCCTCCTCTTATTCTTGTAAGAACACTAATCCTGTTGGATTAGGGCTCTTCCTTTATGGCCTCACTTAGCCCTACTTACCTCCCTAAAGATTCACATTGAGGGTTAGGACTTCGGCGTGTAAATGTGGCTGGAGGGGGAGACACAATTCAGTCCAAACACTGCCCTAGACCTACCGTATCAGAATCTTCATTTTGACAAGATTTCCTGACAATTCACATGCACGTTAAAGTTTGAGACTTGATGGCTTTAGTGTACAACCTTCAAGCTTTCTTTTCTATATCACTCTATACATATGTGCCAAAATGGAACAAAATCAAATATGCTGCTTTATAAGCTGCTTTCTTTCTTGTTTACCAATATATGTTGTAAAGAATATCCTATTGGGCCAGCCATTGGCATGGTGTGTAAGGCAGCTGGATCTCATATGACCAACCACATGGTTTGAGTACCAGACCTAGCGCCCTTAAAAACACACCAGGTGCTTGCGTGTGGCCATGCCCCCAAAGGGTGCTTTCTTTCTCTCCCTTCCTTCTCTCTCTGTCCAGCAAGTGTACATGCCCTGTAACAAAATAAATAAGTAAATAAATAAATATTTTTTAAAAGAACATCCTAGGGACCAGGAGATGGTATAATGGTTATGTCACTAGACTCCCACATAGTCAACCACAGTTTGAGTCCCAGACAGGTGGCTTAAATTCACACCGGGTGCATGTGTGTGTGTGTGTGTGTGTGTGTGTGTGTGTGTGTGTGTGTGTGTGTGT